ACGTTAGTCAAAATGTTATGACGTCATCGATGACGCAAAACGTGATGAGGTCATTTGACATGACGTCATTTGATGTCAAGATGATAGTCCAATTTTCGTGGGAGTATAGATATTTTGTTTTATCAAACTACAAATGCGTAAATGACATAATTTTCGTACCTGCCAATGTTCAGCATATGATATATTAATATATAGACTGTTTCAACCTATACATACCTTGGCTCATCAGCCTAGGAAACACATTTACCAAAAATAGTAAACCGTGATCCAACAAGGACAGCTCCTTGAAAAAGCTGAACACAGGCACAGGTTTCTGGCACCTTAAAACCAGATTGCTTGCCTTCACACCTTTTGCAAGAGCAAAAGGAGTACACCACCTAAAATGAGCAATCTGGTTTTAAGGTGCTATAAACCTGCCTCACACCACAGAATACTACACAGAAGTCCATCTTCATTGTTTTTTGCGTAAGCTCTATTCGTCATGATTCGTCACTCAGCAAGTACCGTAAACAGAAGCAGTCCCCCTCCTGGAAATACTAAAAATGGCATATGTCCAGGGGGGTGACTGCTTCTGTTTACGGTACTTGCTGAGTGACGAATCATGACGAATAGAGCTTACGCTAAAAACAATGGAGATGGACTTCTGTGTAGTATTCTGTGCTCACACCTTTCACCACAGCAAAAGGAGCTTGGTTAAAAATGGGTGACAAGATGGGAAATTTCATAGATGTAAAATTGCCCAGTTTTTCCCATTAGCCCCTTCCCCAGTCCCCCTATTACTAACCTATGTCTAATCTAATTAAATTCATCATCTTGTTATATACTGTCCACTATGAAAATGTAAAATATCGCAAGTGAAATGGTGCCTCAAAGCTGCAGCTTCAGTGGAAGCCAACTTTTATTGAAAACAAGTTTATTTTACATGGCATTTTAAACATATTTTAATCACAGAAGATTCAAATACAAAAGATTTCATCACAAATGACTATTACTTTACTTATCTAGTTATCTGAAATATTAAATTGGCAAGGTTTTTAACACAGTATTCTATTATTCCTATACTATGCTTACATACTGTATATAGACACATACTATATATCAACATGGAGTTTGTCTGTCAGCGCCTGAAATAATGTTCCCAAAGTTCCCTATGATGGTGATCAGCAGTCATGACTTTCCCACCTTTTTCAGGTTGGAAACCCTGCTTTTCTGCCGATCATAAGCTATTTCTTGCCGATTATTGATTGGTGATCAGTTGTTATTTCAAGCCCTGGTCTGTTGAAAAATTTAACTGGTTCAAGATGCAATGGACCCGTCTCAAGCCAATGAGATCAGACCAATATTCGGCATCAGCTTTTGTCTACAAAATAACCCTTGAAATAACCCTTGCCGCTCGATTTTGGAGTCTCTGTAACATCCCTTTTAAGGTTTTGCCACAGTTAGCCCAAACCATTGAACAGTAATCAAAATGTGGTTGAACCAAGGCTTGATAGAGATAGGTAAGAGTTCCAATTGAAACAAATGGTTTAATTCGGCGTAACATGCCAATGCCTTTTGAAACTTTTTTACTGATGTTCTCAATTTGCTTGTCCCAGAATAAGTTTTCATCAATTATAACGCCCAAAGTTTTCTTTGAGTTTACTTGTTTAATTGCTTTGCCATCAATGGACACAGTGATATCTTTCGAAAATCTACTCAATCTTTTGTGAGTTCCAATGACCATATACTCTGTTTTTTCTACGTTTAATGTTAATTTGTTTGAGACGAGCCATTGATGAATATTGCTCATTTCATGATTGAGGGTTTTTTCCAAATTATTAAGACCAACTGAATCAACAGTTATATTTGTGTCATCAGCATACATTGCGGCATGTGAATTTTCCAAACAGTTTGGAAGATCATTGACATATATCAAAAATAAAAGAGGGCCAAGGTTTGACCCCTGTGGAACCCCGCAATTTAACTTCCGAGGGGACGATGTTGCTCTTTTTACCTTACAGTACTGTTCCCTGTTAAACAAATATGATTTAAACCATTCTAGTGCCTTGTCTTGTATCCCGTAATTAGATAACTTTTTTATGAGGATGGCATGATCGACTGTGTCGAATTGCTTTGCATAAATCAAGAAAAAGCACTCCGTTTATCCTACCAGCATCCATATTCAGTAGCCACGAATCAGTATTTTCTAAAAGAGCAGATCTGGTGGAATGACCTTTGCGAAAACCAGACTGACATGAATTTAAAATCTTATTTTCTTCCAGAAATAGATTGAGTTGCTCGCAGATAAGTTTCTCAAATAATTTTGCAATAACTGAAAGTACAGAAATAGGCCGGTAGTTACCCCGCACTTTCTTATTTCCAGACTTATATATTGGAGAAATCCTTGCCGTTTAAGATCGTCTGGGAAAATGCAATTATTTAAAGAAGTATTGAAAATAAGTGCCAAAAAGGGGCCACTACGTCTTTCGAATCTCTTAAAAGTTTGGCCGGAATATTATCTGGTCCTGTGGATTTTGACACATTTATTTTACCAATTTCATTAACTACATCTTGAACTTCGATTACTTTAAAAAATAAACTGGTTTTGAGCTGTAAATTTCATATATCTTTCAAAACTCACACTGGATTCAGCAATCTGACTTGATAAAGTCGATCCAATGTCAGCGAAATAATCATTAAATAAATATGCTATATTGGAATCTTCTTCAAACACTTGCTCGTTAATTTCAAGTGCTGGAATGTTTGACGACTTTGGTCTTTTGTTAATCAGATGATTAATATTCTTCCACATTTGTTTGCTATTATTCTTATTTCTTTCAATTCAATTTGTATAATAGTTCCGCTTCGCATGGATAATTTGTTTGTTAATATTGTTACGGAGACTTCGATATACGGATAATAACACGCATACGGATAATAACACGTAAAATGGCTTCTTTGGCTCTGCAGCAGCATAATTCATGCTCAAGATAAAGCAGAATTGCGATAATCAGCCACTCCTGATACTAATGTTTATAAGTTAAACTCAGAAAGTTGACATTCATTACTCGTTTCATTGTTTTACGAGCTTAGAATAAGATGGTTAGCACTATATATAGGACGTATAATTGACACATTAAATGGTATTCTTTTCATAAATGTACGCTTTCCATATATTCCTAAGAAATTTTGATCCCCTGTCAATGTTTTTAGTTGATAATTCAGTAGGAATACTTTAGATTTGTACTGCTGCAAGCCGAACGCGTTCTTCGCGTGATATAAATAATATCCGTCGCCATCATGAAATCGCGCCAGCGCCACTATCAGCATGGATGCAGCGGCTAAACACGATAATTTGTTATTTCCATGGTGATTTGTTTAACAACATGGCGGACAAAGTCAGAAGCAAGTTTTTATTTGGTTTTTATCTTTCTTAGCAAATTTTTTGTATTCTAACAATAAATTAGCGCGCTCCAAATACCACAATTACACCAATGACAGACGATATTACACAAAATATAAGTGTGCATATAGTATTTGTTTCTGTAATACAATTAAAAGCACTTCTGCGTTATATGCACATATTCGCCGAAAGTATAAGAACTTTTCATCATATTATTCAGCGACAAATGCGCACAAAAATGTATATACATTTAAGTGGCTTATCGAGTACAAGATCAGTGACGCAAATCCGCAAGTTTCAAATTTTGGCGCAAATTACAAAACTTTCTACAGCTGTGAAGAACGCAATCCTTAGCTCGGTAAAATTAAGTCTATTTTCTTCACTTTATATACAGCTAGTACTTTTATAATCTCACCGCATTTAAGCCAAGACGTTTCTCAATGTGTGGATCGTTCCTTCATCCTTTGACGTGCGGTTTTGCGCGAGGAGTTGCTTGGCAAGTGTCAGCGCAAGTAGACGCAGATGAAAATCTAAAGTGCGAAGAGAACGAGACACGAAAGAATTATCTTGTGCGCTTGCTGCGAGAGAGATATGATCGCTTTACTGTCATATTCCAATGTTACAAGGAGAATTTTACCGTTGACTTCAAGCGCTTTCAGTCAATTTTCCCACCACTTCGCGAGAAATTTAGTCGATGGAATCATAGAAAGATCGCAGAGCGCAATCAATACACCGCGATGTTCAACATCGAAGCTTGGAATAAACTTTCTCCGGCGATGCAAGTTAAACATACATTCCAAAATTGTAAGCAATGTCAGCTGAAATACAGTCACATACAAGTTTTATTTCCTACCAAATTCAAGAGGTTCACCGGTTTAATGAAGGAGAACAATCCCAAAGTCACGAACAAAGCCATTAAAGTCCAACTGCCAAGTCAACCAGGGAGTACCACTCTCCGTGAAGCAGGTGAGACTGCAAAGTCTTTATACGACCAGGTGAACCCCATGTTTGAAAAGATCACTGGACATTCCCTTGTTAAAGCATTGACCAAAGTAAAAGATCTCAATATTGAGGAGAAGAAGTCTAAAGCTGAAAAAAAACGAACAGTAAAAAATAATTATAGAAAATTCAAGGAAGCAGTAGAAACAGAATGGGAAAATACATCTTTTATCAGGTATCTAAAAATAATCAAATGGGTAGCTGGGATGACTAATGCATATATACAGTAGGTAAACCAATAAGCCGGGGTAACCAGCAAGATACCATATTCATCCGGGGTAACTGGACCCCGTGGGGTAGCCATATATATCATACCCAGATATATCATAGACAGCCATGGTAACTGGTCATGTAAAACTATCCAGCTGGGGTAGCTAGATCTCATATCAAGCCGGGGTAACCAGATATATATAATACCTAGCCATGGTATCTAGATATAATACCGGGCCAGGGTAGCTGGATATGATACCCAACCGGGGTAGCTATAGATATCATACCTAGCCAGGGCAGCTAGATATCATACCCAGCCAAGGGTAGCTAGATACCCAGCCAGGGTAACTATAATGTGACTCAGAGGTAAAAAATATCCAGCCAGGGTATAGGTATAGTGAGATATCATATCCGGCTGGGGTACCTAATCCTGTAAAAATATACAGTCGGAATATCTAGTGAGATATCATACCCAGCCTGTGAGCCGGGGTAACTAATAGTCTATAGTGAGGTAAAAGTATCCAGCTGGAGTAGCTGGTGAGATATCATTAGTGATAATGAAATATAATTGTATTTAATAGATGCTTTGGAAATCGACAATCATTAGCAGGAAGACAAAGGGAAAGATTAACAATGTGTTTTGAGAGTAAAGAAGATGCAGCTGAACGCAAAAGGGAGCAGAAACAACAAGGGAAGCAGAAAAGTCCTGTTGGCAAGTTTGCTAACATGGAATGGGATAAGCAAGGGATGAAAGATGAAGTTAATAGTTATGGAGATGACACTTTGGTCAACTGGTCTGAGTTAGCAAGACGATTCCAAATCAAAAACAAAACTGGAGAGTTAGCTCAAAACGGTGGTCAAATTGCTATGGAGTGGCTGAAGTCGGAAGGAGTTAATGTGGAAAGATTTGAGAAAAGAAGAACAGAATGTAATGAGGGCAATATAAGAAAAAAATTAAGAAGAGGTGCAGGTGGTGAAATCACTGTTCCATGTCCTGAAACCAATGGAAAAGTGCTGAAGAAATTGCAAGAAAAAGTTTTGTCAGGCGAAATCAATGTTGGGGAGCTAATAGTGCCAAGAAAGGTAATTAAATCGCAATAGTTATATAAAATTATCAGGTTTTAGACATTTTAAATAACTGGAAATTATTTCAAAAAATATTAAAATATTAATATACCACTGAAAATCAATTCAAATATACTGTACCAGTAGTCAGATTTATGTACAGTAGTAATAATTAATAAAAGGAAATTATAGTTTAGAGATTGCAATAGTTTTTGTGATTCTTATTCCTAAATACTGGTATTGAAGTAGAAGAGCTAGTACTGTAAATGTTAATAAAATAGTAAAGGTTCACAGTAGATTTAAACTGTTTGCATTTTACCTGTGAGCTAGTTTTAATTAAAATCAAATAATCTTTCATTCTTGTTTAGTATGAGAAGCTAGTGCTCAAAGAGGATGGTTCAATCGAGAAGTCTTCCTTTTTTGTGGAAGGAC